CCTGGTGCCCATCTTCGACTCCAAGGGCAGTCTGTCGGTGAAAAAGGGGGCATCGACCATCCCGCTGCCGACTGGTCCAGAGCAGCTGCGACGGCGCCTTACAGTCATGGTCAACGCCATCCTCATGCTGGCCATCAAGCACACCAACAGAGAGGAGATACAGGATGTGACGCGTGACCTTTTTGAGCGTTACAAAGATTATGTGCTGGGGGACTATGTATGGGGCCTTTCTTCAACAGACCTCCAAGGCAACCAGATCCAGTCGCCGCCTTGGACTTTGGTGCTCTCATACGAGCAGGCGATCAGGAAGAAGGCATACTCGTTGATGATCACAGATGGCCTCAGACTAGGGGCAGCCTTGGAGCAAGCTTGGAAGTGCCCGACGACAAAGGAGAGGCACTATATTACACCTTTGGCCTTATACAGCAAGCGTTCGTACCCTCAGCAATCCTGGGGTGACTGGAACCCAAAGGGCAAAGGCAAGGCTGGCAAATCCTCCGGTGCAAAAGGGAAATCGAAAGGGAAAGGAACAGGAGTTACGCCGGATGGAGCAAAGATTTGCTTTCGCTTCAACCAGGGCAAGTGCAGCTATCAGAAGTGCAAATTCTCACATGTGTGCAACAAATGCTTCAAGAAGGGGCACAATGCACTGAACTGCAAGGAGGAGAAGCACCCCCCGGACACTACCGGGGCACACTGACAGGGTGGTACAGACAATGCACGGTCACAAGACCCTACTTCAAAGAAGATCTGCAGGGTTTTGTATGTTTTTTCGGGGAAGCCGCGGAAGAATTCAGTTTCATCATGGTTACGCAGGCTGTCAAAGCAACTTGGAGTGACTGTGGAAGTGGAGATGGTCGACATACAAGTGAGACCATTCTTAGATCTCACCCGTGCAGAGGTGCAACAACGCTTGTTAAACAAGATTGCTTCTGGACGGTATGATGCGGTTATTTTTAGCCCACCATGCAGCACTTTCTCAAGAGTGGTCTGGGCAAACAGACGGGGCCCTAGACCTGTGAGGGCCTTTACAAAACCGAGAGGGCTGGACAGGCTATCTTGGGCTGAACGCAAGAGAGCTAACTGGGGGAACACAATGGCAGACTTCACCTATAAAGCTTTTGAGTTGCAAGCGAGACAGCCCGAAGGGATTGCAGTTTTTGAGAACCCTGAAGACCTAGGAGCCGTGAAAAGTGGAGAAAACTTTGGGATCAGGCCTGCAAGCATGTGGCAGTGGCCACAATTTGCGGCACTTTTAGAGCTGGAACAGGTGCAATCGATAGCCTTTTATCAGCAGGACTTTGGGACTGAGTACCTAAAGCCGACAAGACTGCTGCTGGCCCATGCAGGCGAGTTGCCAGAGTCCTTTGTGCAAGGGCCCCCAACATTTGATAACCAAGGTTTTTATACTGGACCGCTACGGTCGCGTGCAGCGGTGAGACAGTTGGTGGGGACCTCTGGCAGTGCTTTTGCAACAACAGGGACGGAACAGTGGCCGTCAAACTTTTGTAAATGGGTGGCAACAATGGTTTTACAGCAGTTTTTAGCAAAACAGAAAATCAGTCCTGCCATCGCTGCCGAAGGGAAACTCCAAAACTCAGACAGCACGGATTTTCCGACCCTGGAGCCTGATGGCGACAAGCTAACAGGGGGACATGGACCTCCAAGGCAATGCCAACAACCAGGTAAAGAACGACAGTTCCACGATGGAGCAGGCTTGCCTTCAATGGGAAGATGGGATCCAGACAAGAGAATTTGGAACAACAGCGTTTTTTGGCAAGAGTTGCGACAGGAGACAATGGATCTCATTGTTCAGCACCTTGGAGATGAGCGCAAGCTTGATAGGGCATGCTTTGAGATGGCAGTGAAGGGAGAAGCTGGCTGTGATATAGTTTGCTTCATAGGGCGCGCCCGTGAGTCTATACGGTGCTGTGTGTTGGGCGGGTGGGTGGGTTGGCGCTTGGTGACGTTTACGTACAATCGTGGGGGCTGGATTGATGCCGTTTGGGTCCTTGGTTCAACTGAAGGTTTTTCATTGGCAGTCTGGAACACCACAACTTGGAAGCTTGCTGTTTTTTGCTTTGGTGTTTACAACAGTTCATTTTGGTGACTGAAACTTTTGCTGGACAACTTCGTTTAGTTTATTCTCTCTGGAATTTATTACTGCTGTTCTGGAAGTTTGATTTCAGATGGGAATTCACAATGGTTTCAACTCAATTCTTGCGAAAGCGTGTTTATCACCTACAGTGTCCATACAGTTGGCAATACATGGATGTGACTCGAAGAGCTATGGCTCATTTTCAGGTAGGTTGGGGCGCGGTGCATCCAACAAGGTTGGACGGTGCCCTAGCATCGAGCCATGGATTTGTCGTGGCCTAGTATCACCAGTGATGTCGTTGTGATTTTACAGAGGATGTTTAAGACACCTTTGCAGTTGGAAGCGTCTATTGACAGTGATGTGGATGCTAGGGATATGTTACAGTCTTGTTGTCCTGACATGGTACCTGAAGAAGTTGCCAATGTTGCAGCAGACCTGGTGGTGTGGAGAGAGGACAATGCACGGAGCTTCAAACGGGCTAGACGTGGAACTGTTGAGACAGCCATGTACTTTTCTCATGTTTCTCTTGGTGGTTCTGTTCAAGATGCTTTCAAACATATCACACAGACTGACATGCTGTCGTTGGTTGCAGCGCATTCGAAGAGACGGCAGCGGGTCCTCAAGCTCGAGGCTGAGAATAGGTCGAAGAGGATGGATGCCGAGAGAAAGAAATATAGCATGTTATTAGCACAGGTCATTATTGAGGCTAACCTCCCAGTTGCTGCATTGATTCAGACTCTTGATGATTCTCGTCAGGGATGGTTGCATTTGTTTGGCACTCGTCGTTGCAACACTTTGAAGAACAGGTACAAAGCATGGCGTCCTTTTTCAGTTTGGTTGGAGTTGCATGCTGGTAGGAAATTTCCCATCAATGTCAAGGACATCATCGACTATGTTCAGCACAGGGTTGATGAGGGGTGCGGTAAGACTGTGCCAGAATGTTTCCATGTTTCACTTACATTGATTGAACAGTTGGGTCGTGTGCCTGAAGGTGAGAGGCTTTCCTCGGAGGAGCTTTGGAAGGCCCATGTGAAGGCATGGAGTGCGGAGCTTGCGGCTGAGTCAGAGCCTACAAAGCCAGCAGAGATGTACACTGTGGCAATGCTCATTTCTTTGGAATTGCATGTGGTGGATGAAACACGTCCCTTATTTTCACGGGCTTTGGCATGGGTTGTCTTGGTAATGATTTGGGGGTCAATGAGATGCGATGACATGCAGTGTGCACTTCCACACCGCACTCATTTGTCCAACTTCGGACTTCGTATGGTGCTGGGCAAGACCAAGACGTCGGGGCCTGACAAGGTGCAGAAAGAAGTATCGGCACATGTGTACCGCACTGTTTCGTTATGTGGTGAAGACTGGCTGAAGGTTGGTTTCGACATTTGGGAAACGGAACCGTTCAATTCAAGAAGAGATTATTTTGTTTTGGAGCCCACAGGTGATTGGTCGTCTGTCAGGAAGAGATTCGTCTCACCATCTGGGTTGAGTTCGTTGATTAGGAAGTTATTGGGTGACCTGTGCACACCTCGCAGGGTTCCAGGTGGATGGGACGTCAACGCAACGACACTCTTGTTGCCAGACGGTTTGGAGACACATTTCACAGGTCACAGTCCTCGCAATTTTGTGACATCTGTTGCTGCTGCAATTGGTTTCCACAGGGATCAGAGGGCCTATTTAGGTCGCTGGGCAATGGGAATGGTGGCATCGGAGGAGTACGTGAGGACTTCTCGCCAGGTGGTATTTACAATACAGAAGGCTGTGAACAGGTCTTTGGTTGTTGGTTTGGACAATGAATATTTTGAAGATGAGGCAATTGACAGTTTATGCAAAACGGCAGAGAACTCCGGGGCAAACCCCAACAGGATCCGGAAGAGGCATACTGTGATGGGGCGCTTGAGTGGCAAGAATTGCATTGGGGGTGTGTTCCCCACCTTGGAGGTTCAACAGGACGATTGGTTTCTGATCGGTGACGTCGAGACAGACGAACAGGCAGTTGCGGTGAAAATCCAGGAGCAGAAGGTGCGGAGTGAGGCTGCCAATGCAAAGACACACAAGTTCTTTGTCACCATTTCCAGACGTGCTGGGTTTCGCAGATTGCACCTTACTGGTTGTTTTGTGAAGCCTTCGAATTGCATGGAGGTCAGGTTTCTGGATGAGGTCACTGAAGAGGATTTTGATTCAATCTGTAGATCCTGTAAGAGAAAGATGTTGAGTGATGGCGGCAAGGATTTTTGCATGGGACGGTAGTTGAGTCATTTTGCATGAGTGCACACTAGGATTGGTTTAGACCTGCTTCATGATGTTTTCACCCTGCATGAGCGTAGTGCAACTGATCGTTCATTCGTTGAGACGAAAACAGGGTGTTCATTTCCACGCTGTGGGGGCTTGGGGTCTCTTGACTGTTGTGTGGTTTTGTGATTTTCGTTGTGTTTTCTTGCGTTGTGCATGAGTTGCACGCGATCGCAAATTTGTTTTTGGATTTGTTTTGATTGTGGTCACTTGTTTCATTGGGAGATGTTCATTGAGGGCAGTTGAAGTGGGAAGTGCAATCCCCTGGGTGCCGTTGGATGTCAAGGCTTGGAGGTATCGTGAGGTTGCTGGCATGATGCAACGGTTTGGACTGATTGCTCATTTCTATCCAGCTGTCGAATTTTCAGTGATATCCGCATCCAGGGCTCAGCTTACGTTAAGACGTCAAGCATTTGCATTTGGGATGTTTGCCAAAGGGCGTGTGACGGCTCAGACCTTTGGGTGCCGTTTAGGTGTTCAGACACCTTTCAATCCATGTTTGTTTCAAATGCTGCTGGCCTTTAGGGTTGCATTGCTTTCTCACTCCTTGTTTTGACATGACATTAAAGGTGGTTTCTGAGAGTTTGGCATTTTGCCAGTCATCGGCCGTGCAATGGCTGTTGACCCAGATGCTGCAGATAGGGAGTTCATTGCGCAGAATATGGATTCTGACTTACAATTCATTTTGTTGGACTCTGGAGTTTCAGTCAGGCGACAAGCGGCGATTGCACGTTGCTATGGGTCATTGCGTAAGTTCAATGCAATTGGTGATGACAGGGCTCAGATTCGCACTGCTTGCCTTCATGACTTCGCAGTGGCACAAGACACTCCGGAGAACAGGGCTGAGGTGGCATCCATTGTGGCGGCTTGGGAGACGGCCAAGGAGTTTGTCTCTAAGGAGGTGGAGCTCAGGGCCGAGGCAAAAGTGTTGGGACAGCCGAGGATCCTTCAAGCCCACGAAAGACAGGCTATGATAAAGGCTGTCGAAAGGGTGCATGGTGCCTTGGGTGAGTCAGAGACGCCCAGTGCAGACTACTTGGCGTTGAAAGCCGAGGAGACTGAGTTGAACGAACCAACGGCGTCACCGCTGGATGAAGTTATCAGCAAGAAGGACACCTCGAGCTCTCAAATCCAGTCCTCATTGGATTCCTCTGGGCATTTGCGTGTTGTGAGGACGAAGAACAAGTCCCGTATGCCTACAACGACAGAGGAGTACCGCAAGGTGATGAAAGTTGAGATGTATTCCTGGCTTTGTATGTCAGCAAGGTACCGTGCAAAAAATTGGTTGCACGACTTGGAGGCGGCGGATTTCAACAAGTTTGTTGACTACATCCTTGGTGAGAGGGTGTTGGGGATACAAGTGCCATCACCTCAAGGCGATGGAGCACAACAGAAGATCAGACCGGATTGGGCCATTGTCCTTTCTTATGAGCATAAGCTGAGGAAGGAAGCATTCAGGCTTGTTACAAATGAGGGCTACACGCTTTCTCAGGCCTTGAAATCGGTGATTAGGGACGCTGATTTGAAGGAGTCCTTTTTCACGACACCAGTGGCATTGCGTGCAGCCTCCTCTGCCGACCCCCCGGCGAGCAAATGGCCGAGGTTTAACAACAAGGGCAGCTTTGGGGGCAAGTCCTATCAGCAGGGACCCAAAGGCAAAGGCAGAGGCAAAGGCGGCAAATCCAAGGGCAAGGACAGCAGATTGGATGGCTTGCAGTTAGCGTGGCGGACGCCAGACGGGCGTGATCTTTGCTTTGCCTACAATGGTGGCAGCTGTGATGGAAAATGCAACAGGGTCCATCAGTGCAGAGTCAAAGGTTGCTATGGTGACCATCCTGCGATTCACCATAGGGAAAAGACCCGTTCCTCCACTTGACGGGATGGGTGTGCTCACCAACCTGGCATGGAGGCACACCCTCACGATGCCCCTCCACCTAAGGTGAAGGTGATGTACCTATTTGCCGGGAAAAGACGGCAGTCAGATGTGGCTTCTTTCTTGCAAAAGGCACACGATAGCGGCCACATTTCTTTGACTCTGAAGGAGTTCGACCTGGAGCTTTCACCAGACCATGATTTGACCAACAAGGTTTTATGGGATGAAATTCTGGCAGCCCTTGAAGAGGGTGACTGGTATTTGCTTGTTTCGCCACCGTGCAACACGTTTTCAAGGGCGAGGTTTCACTTTCAAGACTGGCCGGGACCGAGGCCGCTGAGAAATGTTGTCTGGCCCAAAGGGTTCCCATGGCTTTCACAGCATCACAGGCAGGTTGTTGATGAAGCAAATTGGTTTGTCGAGCAGTGCATTTTAGCTTGCAAAGTTTGTCACCGTGCAGGGGGAAAATTCATTATTGAACATCCCGAGGATTTGGGACTCGTGCGTGAGGAACGTCCAGGATCAATCTGGCAATGGGAAGAAATTTTGGATTTGATACCAACTTGTGGTGCCACCACGTTTGCAATACAACAGTGCAAGTTTGGGGCCATTACACCCAAACCCACCCGGTTTTTGGGGACGTTCCGCATTGAGGACAGCAGATGCTTTTTAGGACTGCCTAAGTTTGATTCTTTGGGTGCGTACAAAGGGCCGCTACCCAAATCTTGTGGGCACAAACATCAACATAAACTTTTGGGGAAGACTCAGAACAAGTGGAATACGAGCGGCAGTGCTGCTTACCCGCCTGGATTGTGTGAATTTTTAGCTGGGCTTGTTCTTCATGCTGCCGCATCCTCCGGAAGGGGGAAGAAGAACAACGGCAACGAACTACGGAGCAGTGCTCAGGATGTCTCATTTGCAAAAAACGCCAAGACTGTTGAAAGGGACCCCAACATGGACATTGTCAAACCACAATGCAAGGTTGTAGACTTGACAATGGACGATGCAACTACAGAGCAACCGCAACCACCCAGTGGGGGGTCAGGTCAGAGTGGGGGTGAGCAGGATTCTGAAGTTTTCAATTTGGGAAAATGCTGCAACTTTGGTAGACCAATTTCAGTTGAATGGGACAGCAGAACTCATGAGTTTATAGATGGTTTCGGGTTATGCTCACCTGCGAGATGGCACCCGGCAGATAGGGGCCGTTACAGAGATGACAAGATGAAACAACTGGCGCAGGCAACTTTTGGGTTTTTGAGGCAGGGTGTGATGGAGTCCATCAGTGATGTAAGGATGGAGGCGTTCAAGCTGGTGACAGGCAAGTTGCAGGTGTCACCGTTTCCTGAATCTTGCTTGGTGAAGGTGAGAGAGAGGGTGGCTGGCCTGCTACCTGATTGCAAGGGTGCGTTGGTGCGAGACCCGGGGCAACCCTTTTTCTTGCGGCTGCTGTCACAGTGGTTGGAGATGTTTGAGGACCCAGACTTCCGTTGCTTGGTGAACGATACAGAATCTTTTGCAACTGGCGTCAACCTTGGGGTGGACATACCCCTGCCAAGATCACCACAGGTTTTCCCCGAGAAGCTGAAGCACCGAAAACTTGACTCGACAGATTTCAACCCGATCGCTGAAAACTACCCTTCAGCTCAGATTTCTAGCGAGGAGTTGGTTCAGAAGTTTCGAGAAGAAGAATCTTTGGGTAGGATGTTTCCATCCAAGCTTGGCGTCCTGAAGGAGAAGTATGGGGACAGGCTGAGAGTGGCTTCAATGGCAGCCATAGCAAAGCCCGATGGGGGGGGGAGACCGCTCCACGATGCAACGCACTCCGTGATGGTCAACCACTCCATCAAGTATCAAGACCAGTTGCAGTGCCCAGGACCGGCAGAGGTAGCATCAGTTGTTAGAGAAGCAGTGGAGACAAAGGAGGCGTGCTTTTGCGTTTCAGCAGACATTAAGGCTGCTCATCGTTTGGTGAAGGTGAGGGAGGAGGACTGGCCGTACATGTGCTGCAGAGCAGATTCCCAGAGCGATACTGTCTGGGTAAATAAGACAGGCACGTTTGGCGTAGCAAGTGCGCCGTACTGGTGGGCCAAGCTTTTTGCATGCATTGGCAGGTTTGTTGGACACATAATGCAGGCGACAGTTTTTTGGCACCTGGTTTACGTGGATGATTTGCATGGAGCATTCGCAGGGGCTCAGAAGTTTGAGATGCTATGGATCTGGCTACTGGCGTTTGAGCTGGTGGGGACACCTTTTGGATATCATAAGTTCAGGGGGGGCTTTGCCTCAGAGTTTGTGGGGTATCATTTGCGTTATGACAGGAATGAAGTTGGCATTACAACTCGAAGGGGATCTTGGCTGGTGGATTGGATCCAGAGTCTGGAGAAAAGGAATTTTGTTGTGGCCGCACGTGATTTCAGTGAATTCCTGGGGAGGCTGGGGTTTGTGTCCCAGCTTTTGGTTTGGCTGAAGCCGCACCTTTCGCCACTTTTCGCTTGGAGTGCAGTGGCATCTTCTGGACTGGTCGGCAAGTTGCCGGACACGGTCATTTTGACTTTGAAGTACATACAAATGGAACTGTCGAACGAGTCGTTTATGGTTTCTGCGCAAAGGCCCAAAGTGTTTGCAGAGGAACAGTCTCGTACCGATGCCAAGTGCACTGACACCAATGTGGTATTGGGGGGCTGGGAGGTTTCCACGCGCAGATGGTTTTCATTGTCTCTTACAAGGGAGCAAGTCCCATTTCTGTTTAAGCCGAACGGCGGGGGCGCACAGTGGGCGTCAACCTCCGCCGAGCTGCTGGCATCATTGGCGGCCCTGAGGGCGTTTGGTTGGCTTGATGGCGGGAGGACAAGGCGTACAATGCAATTCTCCATCTTTGCTGGAACGGATAACAGGGCAAACGATCTATTGTCCAACAAACGCTCGACTACGAAATGGCCATTGATGTTAGTCAACATGGAGCTTTCTTCATGTTTAGCCAAGTCAAGGCTTACACTGGATTTGAGATGGAGGCCTCGTGAGGAAAATCAAGAAGCTGATGAGCTGACAAATGAGATTTTCACAAGCTTCTCCATGGACGATCGTGTCCCCCTCACCCTGGCAGATTTATGCCTGGATTTGGTGAACAGTCTCTGGCAAACAAAGTTGCAGTTTGACCTGATGAGAGAAGATGCCAAGCGGCATGCGGAAGGGAGCCCTCAGGGAAAGAAGAGGAAGCGCGATAAAACACCATGGTGACTTCGTTTGCAATTTGTCTCTGTCGAGTGGGGAGCTACAGACACTTGCTGCACTTGTCCCCCTTTCTTCTTGCGACAGTTTCATGGTAACCAATTGCTGGAGCGTTCCGGCATGGACAATGCAGAGACATTGGATGGTCGCTGGATCTCACCACCGCTGAAAAAAAGGTGTGAGTGATCGAAGTGATGGCAGTTCATTCTTGTGAGATTCAGTCGACATTTCAGTTCAGAAATTTTTGGATGTGTTTCAGTGCAGTAAATTTTTGGTCGTTTGCTGGATGCGGTTTTGCATTTCCTCCCCGCGTTTTCTCTGGTTAAACATTGTTGTCTCGACTTCATCTTCACGCGAGTCCTGCGTCCCTACCTTCTCAACACACAGCATAGTGTAGGCTTCATAGGGCGCGCCCGTGAGTCTATACGGTGCTGTGTGTTGGGCGGGTGGGTGGGTTGGCGCTTGGTGACGTTTACGTACAATCGTGGGGGCTGGATTGATGCCGTTTGGGTCCTTGGTTCAACTGAAGGTTTTTCATTGGCAGTCTGGAACACCACAACTTGGAAGCTTGCTGTTTTTTGCTTTGGTGTTTACAACAGTTCATTTTGGTGACTGAAACTTTTGCTGGACAACTTCGTTTAGTTTATTCTCTCTGGAATTTATTACTGCTGTTCTGGAAGTTTGATTTCAGATGGGAATTCACAATGGTTTCAACTCAATTCTTGCGAAAGCGTGTTTATCACCTACAGTGTCCATACAGTTGGCAATACATGGATGTGACTCGAAGAGCTATGGCTCATTTTCAGGTACCCGCCCTACCCAACCCTTTGTGGTGGGAGGGTGATACCAGCGACTGGGGGAGCTACAGACACTTGCTGCACTTGTCCCCCTTTCTTCTTGCGACAGTTTCATGGTAACCAATTGCTGGAGCGTTCCGGCATGGACAATGCAGAGACATTGGATGGTCGCTGGATCTCACCACCGCTGAAAAAAAGGTGTGAGTGATCGAAGTGATGGCAGTTCATTCTTGTGAGATTCAGTCGACATTTCAGTTCAGAAATTTTTGGATGTGTTTCAGTGCAGTAAATTTTTGGTCGTTTGCTGGATGCGGTTTTGCATTTCCTCCCCGCGTTTTCTCTGGTTAAACATTGTTGTCTCGACTTCATCTTCACGCGAGTCCTGCGTCCCTACCTTCTCAACACACAGCATAGTGTAGGTGATGAGAACCTCAAACAAAACTTGAGGGAGCTTTGGATGCGCAAGTTACGGCAACATGGAAGTGTTTTAGAAGCCCTGGACTACAGGGCACCAGGGCAGCCCTTCTACTTGAGGCTCTTCAAGGAGCTGCTGGCCTTTTCAGGTGATGTAGATAGAGACTTCCTCCTCCAAGGAGAGATGGGATACCCAGTTGGGGTGGACCTGCCGCTACCTCGCACACCACATGTCTTCGAAGAACAGACCAGCTGGAAACTGGAGAACGACCCGCACATGCAGGAAGAAATTTGGAGGTCGAATTATCAGTCAGTGGAGGCGCACAAAGACTTCGTGCGACAACACTTTGAGGAAGAGTGTGCGGAAGGTTTGATGGAAAAACTAACAGTCGAGGAGGCCAAAGCCAAATATGGGAAGCGCATAGCCATCTCCTCACTGGCAGTCCTGGTGGAAGAAAACCACCAGGGAAAAAGACGTGTCATTCACGACGCCACCCATGGGACTCGGATCAACAACCGCATCAGGTGCAGAGACAAGGTGAGGAGCCCAAGCTCCAGGGAAAAGCAATACTTGCTGGCCTTCTTTCAGCAATGCAAGGCTTCAGTCTTCAGTTTGGTTGGTGATATCAGTAAGGCGCACAGGCGCTTTTTACATGCGCCTGAAGAGCGTGGCTTGCTGTCCTGCAGGATCAGCGAGGATGACGTGTACATATACGTCAACAAGGTTGGAACCTTTGGACTGGCCTGTGCCTCCTATTGGTGGGCAAGGATAGCAGGAGCCGGGATCAGGCTGATGCATGAAATGTTGGGACCCCAGATGCCTGTCGACTTGCTGATCTTTGCAGACGATCTGGAAGCGATAGCATCCTCGGCTGGGGGTCGCAGAGGCATCACCCTCAGTTTTCTTTTTCTGTCCTGCCTGGGCTTCCCCTTCAAGTGGGCCAAACAGAGAGGCGGGCTGCGTGTTGAGTGGATAGGCTTGTTTACAGACTACACAAACTACAAAATAGGACTTTCGCCGAAGCGTGCAGAGTGGATGCAGAGCTGGGTCATGAAGCTGGCCTCTGAAGGGTGCACGACCCCAAAAGTCTTTGAGCAGGGCCTTGGGCGTTTGGGCTTCTCTGCCCTGGCGCTGCTGTGGGAGAAACCCTTCCTGGGCCCGCTATACAGCTGGTCGGCGGCAATCAGAAACAAGAAAGGGACGATGAGGCTCCCGGCTATGTTGAGGGCTATCCTGCTCTTCCTGGGCGAGAGGTTCAAGGAGGGCGGACAGCTACAAGAGGCACCCCCCCTTAAACGGGGAACAGAGGAGGTGGACGACCTTCTTTTCTTCACAGACGCCAGGGCCACGGAGAGCGGTGCTTGGATAGGTGGCTTTCTTCAAAGTCAAGAAGGCAAAGTTCTGGCCTGGTTTTCTGAGGAGGTCAAAGAAGATTGGGCGGACTGGCTTCGTCTTCGGAAAGACCCCAAGCGACTGATTGCGTCGTTGGAGCTGCTTGCAACCTTGGTGGCGATCAAACTTTGGGCGCCAGTGGGTAACAGAGAAGTCAGGGCCAAATGTTGGATCAGGGGGAAGACAGACAACCTGGGAAATGCCTACGCCATTTCAAAATGGATGTCAACGAAATTTCCCCTTACGGTTTTGGTGATGGAGCTTTCCGAATCTCTGCGGCTAGGCCATTGCTACCTAGCGCTTGACTGGCTGAGGAGAGATCGGAACCAGTTAGCAGACGACCTTTCCAACATGAAGTTTGACAGTTTCAACATGGAGCAACGCGTACGGTGGGTACCGCAGGAGCAGAAATGGCACGTTCTCACCAGGTTTCTGCAACATGCCAAAGAGTTTCATGAGGAAATGCGGAAGAGAAAGATGGAGCCCTCACCCAAAGAACCAGCAAAGAAGAGGGCACGTACGAAGGGACTTGGCCCTTGGTGATGCACGGTGGCCACCTCGAGATAGGGGTTGGTTTGGCTCGGTAGCCATCGGAAGTTAATGGCAGCCAAAACCTATGGTGGGGATTCCATCCAATCCAAGACGATAAAAAGAGAATGAAAAAAGGAAACGGCCGCATTTTCCTGATTTGTGCATTCCACCTTGTCGCATGTTGCAGTTTGATTTTGTTGTGTTTGATGTCTTGTGCTGAAGCTGCTCTTATTTATAACGCGGACCAATATATTTTTTATATGTATACCGTGGCGATAGCCTCACGCTAAGTAGCTTATTAATATCTCTGCGAGGTTTTTTGTGTCTAGAATTTGTAACGAGCACGCTGCGTGGGTATCACGTTTTTCCTCTGGGAGGGTTTAGGGTGGGAATCATACTTACCCATCTAGCACGCAATCGCGACGTGTTGCGACTGTGTGTTTGTGAGTAAGTAACTCGCGGCGGTGTCCGGTTCTGACTCTGCGGGTTCGGTCTCTTACTCCTGGTGTACGCCCTCCCCACGCGACTCCTACGCTCTACTTGTGCTCTAGACACTCGGAGGTATTGAAGATCAACTTCCAGATAAACAAACCAAACTTTGAAACAGCTCCGCTGAGTGTTTCCGGTTCCCTTTTCTTGGTTCTATCTGGAAGGCTTCTTAGGTATTGAGGTGTTGTAAAACAACACTACCTGAATCTTCACAAGATGTTCTTTTTATTTACTCCTTAGGTATGGAGTATCAACGCGTTGACATACACAAGGGTTATGTCACCGGTTCTGTTCATGTATAGAATTTTTACTTGCAATTGAATTCCTTAATGTACCGTATCCATTTGAGTGGATCAAATATGGGGTTGGAGCACTTTTTTAGCCCACCCCCCCACACCTGGGTTGGTTTGGCTCGGTAGCCATCGGAAGTTAATGGCAGCCAAAACCTATGGTGGGGATTCCATCCAATCCAAGACGATAAAAAGAGAATGAAAAAAGGAAACGGCCGCATTTTCCTGATTTGTGCATTCCACCTTGTCGCATGTTGCAGTTTGATTTTGTTGTGTTTGATGTCTTGTGCTGAAGCTGCTCTTATTTATAACGCGGACCAATATATTTTTTATATGTATACCGTGGCGATAGCCTCACGCTAAGTAGCTTATTAATATCTCTGCGAGGTTTTTTGTGTCTAGAATTTGTAACGAGCACGCTGCGTGGGTATCACGTTTTTCCTCTGGGAGGGTTTAGGGTGGGAATCATACTTACCCATCTAGCACTATCTTGTACACATCAAACCAGTTGCGCTTTATTTGCCATGAATGCATGGCTTTGCACACGCAACGTCGCTACGCGTACTTTCCTTCTTTGCGTTTCTCCCTTCCCCGCGCCCTCACGCTGCTCTCTACGCGTTCCGTGCTATGAGGCTTTGCCGATAGCCCGCATTGATCTAGGTTCTTGCACACGCTCTGATTGACACTGATTTGTCCATCGGCAATCTGGCGGTTAATTTTTATTTTCCAACCTGTTTATTGCAAAACCGGTTTGCTGCACAGTTTGTGTGTTTTACAAACTAAACTTGTTTCATGTTTCACATGTGTACACTTAATTATACGTTTGCACCGTTGCCTGGCTAGTGGTGGGTGGGCGGGTTTGTACACTACGCGTCGTAGTTTTTGTTCACCCACCCACCCACCACTGACAAAAACCACACACGTATAGTTAAGCCACACCCTCAGCCCTATGAGGCCGAGGGAAACTCGAACATTCCCCAAGCGTTCGTTCGAAAAAGAGTGATCACTGTCCGAGGGGTTTGTGCTCACCGTTTTCATGTCTCATGGCCACCCGTACTTACATGTTTGCTTTGATTTTCACTTGATGACACATCC